TATGTATATATGTGTATATATATGTATATATATATATGTATATATATAGTATATGTGTGTGTGTGTGTGAACATGTGTGAACATAAGTGTCATATTTATTTAAGGTGGGAAAGAGGTTTATTTTGTTTCTGTGATGCTGAAAGCAAAATGCATCAAAAAATGTAAGAGGACGGCATAACTTGTCAGTCGCCAATTACAGCCTGTGTTACAAACAAGACCTTTAATTAGAAACTCAAGATAATTGAGACGAAATTAGCATTTACAAAACACGTTTTAACAGAAACGAATATTTATTTAAAAAAAAAAAAATCTGTACCCGCCTACAAATGGTCATGCAAATCATGGTGAAAGACTACGAATAGAGATAATGAGTTTTGTTCTTTTTTTTTTTTTTAATGGTGACGGTGTTGTTTTAGGTAAACAAGTTTGATTGATTGAAAGATTATAAGAACCAACCAATAACTGGGTAGTGCAGGTTAACTGTTTTACGCTGATAAGCATTTGTTTAACTGATCATTCAGATTCACCACATATGGACATGTTGAGTTAAACCAGAGCAGTAATATTCCTACAGTTACAAGTTACAGTTACAAGGTTAAAAACCTCAATTCTAGAGGCTTTTTTTAATCTAAGTTTCTCACAAGATAATAGAGAACAAATTAAGTTTTATTTGAAATTTTGACTTTTTTTTTTTAGTTAATGTACTTGCATACAGATCATGGTGAAAGACTAAGAATGATGAGTTTTGTTCTTTTTTTTTTTAATGGTGATGGTGTTGTTTTAGGTAAACAACTCATTGATTGATTGAAAGATTGTAAGAACTAACTATAACTGGGCAGTGCAAGATATTGGCCACAGCATCTTCACCTGACTGTATGAATGTCTGGGATGTGATTTGCTGGCCACAAGAAACATCGCATCTGAAATGCAGCCTTTTTTTTTTTTTGCTTCAATTGAAGTATTTGGCTCCCTCTTCCGGTTTGTTTAATCAGATTATTATCTGGTCCATTGGTTTTTGCATTTTGATAATTGATTATTTGTAAGCATATGTCTGAATTTGTACGGAGACTTGTCTTGGTTAAAATGTTTTTATAAAAATGGACTTGGACAGAAAAAAAGCTCAGCGTTTGTCTTAATTTATATTAAACAATTAGATACCTCTTCTCATCACACCTTAAACAAAGCTATTTTAGATTAATGTTGGTGTTTTTTTGAGCCATACACAATGACATTTGCCTTGTATTTAATGGTTAAAGGAGGACACTAAATTTTGTGTCTTACCTAGTTTTTTTTTTTTTTTTAAACCCATCTTTTGATCATTTGACTTTGGTCAGACTTGGGGATCTCTGTATTTTTTTTTTTTTTTTTTTGAAAGTTTACTTCACAAGGGCTGTTGAGAAAACCAACGTTGAACATATATGTACATACATTTGTTTGTGCATTGTTCAGTTCTTATGCCGAAAGAAAAAGAATCCGTTGGGCAAACTCTGCCCCCTAGTGACATCACCGGGGTAATGTTTGTTGTGATAGGGTCAATTAGAGAGTGCGCAATCCTCACCATTTTGAATTCAAAGAAAAACGTTTTTTAAAAAAAAAAAAAAAGATTCATTATTTATTTCGTAATATATTGACTTTAACGCGAAAGCAGTCAGTTGGATATTCTACTGACCTATATTTGAATACAAGGTCACTGACGCCATGCACTGGTCACATGATTCGGGAGGGGGGCGGGGCTATGGCAGCAAACAACAGTGGGCCAATTGGTCATCATCATCATTTAACAAAAGATGTGTCGAATGACGGAGGTCAGTTTAGAACTGATCACTGTTAGTGATCCACGTAATGACATCCCGTGGAATCGTAGGGAACGTGCTCCGACTAATCTGCATGCTCACTGTGTTGTCAGTTATTTCGCCAGCTTTATCCTTGATTTTCTGCCTCTGCTGCTTAATTAGGTGTTTTTGAACAAGCCTGCAGATTAAATATGCTGGAGATCTCCATGTCATCTACTCATTCATATCCTGCTCCTGCTAGTGTATTCTTCCTTTATTATTACGATCATAATGTTTGGTTGTCCACTGGCTCAGATGTTTTTTTTTCTTTTTCTTCCATTCCTCCTACTCCTTTTGACTCATTTCCTCCTCTTTTCATCCCCAACTCTATTTCTTCCTTTCTCTTATCTTTACTTGTTGCTCCTTTTCTTCTGTTTTGTATTCATTGTCCCACCCCCCCCGTCTTCTCCCTTCGCTCTTAATTTGTCTCCTTACCCATTTCCCCCCCTTGTGTTCATGTCTAATTTTCTGGGTTTTTCTTCTTTTGTCTTCACCTCTCCTTTCATTCCGTTGTGTTCCTTTTTACCCTTTTTGTTTTCCACGTGCGTTCCT